CCCCAGCACCAGCTTGGCAGTGGAGTAGATGCCACGCTCGTCGATCAGCTGCACAAAGTCCGGCTTGGGACGAGCATCGCCGGGAAGGGGCAGCTCAGGGGAGCAGGACCGAGACCCTCTCTCCCCCTCCTCCTCCTCGCTGCTCCGCAGCGCCTCCTCCAGCCCGTTCTCCATCGCCCTCTGTCTGAAGTCACCTGTCCGACCCCAGATCAACCGCAGCCTCTTCCCCCGGGAGGGTCCTGGCTCTTCGGTGACCTCCCCCCGCCCCGGGGACGCGGGAGCCCGGCTTGTCTCAGGCTTCAGGCACAGCCTGTGCTTCTGCCGGCACGGCCGCAGGTCCCCTGGCGCCTGGTGGCACGGAGAAGCCCCCTCGTCCTCAGCCTTCTGGCAGGGCCTGCCTGCACCCCGAGGGGTGAGAGAGCCCTGCCCGTGGCAGCACGGCCCCAAGTGGCACGGAGAAGCTTGTCCTAACGGCTCCGGGGAGCCTTCCCCCAGCTCTTCTCTTGGCCGCATCCCGGCTGCATCCTCCTCCTGTTCTTCTTCACCTTCAGGCCCATCTCCTTCGGAAAGGGGGGAGAGCCTCTGGGAAAAGGGGGGCTCGCAGGTCGGAGAACCCGGCTGCCCTTCCATGGCAGCCCCTGCAAAAATGAGAAAGGAGAGAGTGTGAGAGGAGCAACAGGCTGGAGGGAAACGATGAGGGAGGAGGCATGAAGGTGAAGACGTGGGTGGCAGCAGCACAGAGCGGGGTCAGAGAGAGATACAGATATATGGGAAGGAAGGGAGGGAGGGAGGGAGAGGAGGGAAGGGAAGGAGAGAGGGAGGCAGGAGAAAGACGCCACAAAACCTGGCATCACCAGTCCCTCTGCCCTTCAGGGGATCGAGGCCACGGGCAGGCCTAGCGCCAAACAGCCCAGATCAGCCCTTAAAAGCCTTTTTACCCATGAGCCTGCTACTAGCACCCAAAAGCAGCTGCTATTCACAGCACGGAGCGATTTGCTTCCTTGCAGGGCCTGCTCAGTCACCTGGCTGGAGCAACAGCAGAGGAACCAGCCTCAACCACGTCCCCAGCCATCACGGGCCACACCGGCTGGCCGGCAGCTTCCAGGCAGGGGTTTGAAAAGCTCCTTGGGGGCCTACGCGACCCCTCGTCTGCGACAAGCTGTCAGCCCCACCTCGGGCAGAAGCAGTGGATGCATGGAGGGATTCAGCCCCCAACTCCTGAGGATTCAACACCATGACTTGGCTCCGGAGCATATCCAGGGTTTTTTTCAGACCACCCTCTCGACAAATACTCCTCTCAGTGTTTTTTCCAAGCTCCATCCAAGCCCACTGATGTCTCTGGAACCTGTTCAGCGGCTGCACAGCTTGATAAGAGACACCAGGCTCTGATATCCACCTCGGGGATCCCCCTGGGCTGGATTTGCTGTCCCCATTTGGGACACCCCATTTGGTTTAGCCGAGGGAGGGGAAGAAAGCTAAAAGCACGATCCACCTCCCAAAACCCCACGTGAAATCACATCCCACGAGGGCCTGATGCACAGACAAGAGCGACCAGCTAGAACAAGCTCTTTGTGGCAAAGAGCTAAATCCAGGCGGTTCGTTCTCCCCTCCCCTGGCCACAGACACGCCGGTGAGAGGCAGCAGGGTGGAGGGGACATCAGGAGCGGCAGATGCTTTTAAGAGCCTCCAAGCACCACGTTGCACAGAGGAGAGCGCTCCCACCGACCCGACGCCAACACGGCGAGGAAGCTGCCGCACAGCCGGACGTACAACTGCCCTGAAGGTGCCCGAGAAGGGCCTCTGGCGGGTGCCAGCACAGAAAACGGCTGCCAGAGAATAAAAGCAGAAGAGAGCGAAGCTACAGGCTGGGAAGGCCGAGTGCCAACACCTCCCAAGGCAGGATCAGCGCTGGAGACCTGCCGGCGCAGCTGGACCCCCAAAACCTGATAAACTCTGGGCACAAAGACCTCGCCAAGTCTGCCCAAGGCCACCAGCCTGCGCTGGCAACTGCAACGGGGTATGTAGTTTGGCATAAGTTGGTGGCTGCTGCGAAGGGATGGGAGCCCGCGGGATGACAAACAGCCAGGGACGCGACGGGGTCTTTCTGAGGGGTTTAAACCCCCCCCCCCTAGCGCCCTGATACCAGTGGGAGCCCATGACAGGTGGGGTTGGAGCTTCAACCAGGCAACTTCAAGGGAAGGCACAGGGGTGAGCTACGAGCGAACGAGCAAAAGGCCACTAATAACCACTCTGAGCCCATTAAAGCCTGACTAAAAGGTGCTCCAAGAAACCCTGCTGCTCACCCGCACCTCCCGCCCCCGACCGGGTCTCAAAGCGCCGAGAAGGGAATTCTCGGCCAAAGCGAGAGGGTTTCCAGGCACGACGTGGTCTCGCTGGCACAGAGCGAGTGACGTCAGCCCAAAGGGTAACGCAGGAGCAGCGGGATGGGACACGGCGATAAAGCAAAGCTGGGGAATCCCACGTTGAAAAGGGAGGAGAGGAAGGCGACAGTCAAATATATTGGGAACAGAAAAGGGTGACGGGGACGGCACGTTGAATAAATGAGAAGGCCAAAAGTAGAGAAAGCCAATAAAAACCCCCAAACCAGCAGAAATCCTTATTTAGATGAACTGAGACGACCACATTTTGTCCCCTCACAAGACACTCCCATTGCTGTTTAAGCAGCCTGGCCCCGACTCTTTGCTGCACAAGTAACACTGGAAGCTCAGAAAAGGGCTCAGAATTACCCTCTCCCAGGGCATTTCTGGGATGGATTTGTGCCATTTTTTGGCCAGAACTCTCATCCGGAGGCTGTGGAGCCCTTCAGGGTGAGGCATCAGGGTGACCCTGAGCAGGGGGATCCAAAAACCCCCCACAAGCAGAGAGGAGAACGAACCTGCTGTCTCAGGTCCCCCTGCTCCCAAATCCAGGTGCTAAAAGAGGGAATCACCAGCGTGGGTGGAAAGGGACGGTGCAGAGCAAGCTGGGAGTGGGACATGGACACAGAGGGGCACATCTTGCAAGGGACACAGAGGGGGAGACTTGCAGGAGCAGGTGGTGAAGAGCCCCAAACCCAGCCTTTTGTTGGAAACACGCCTCCCCCAGCTCCGAAAAAGCCAAATATTAGGGCTGCCTTTGCTGTTGTCCAGATACCCAGCACATCCCGGCTGACTTGCCGCTGTGAATTCAGGCAGGATGATAAATTTGGCGTTTTCTGGTGCCACATAACGGCTATGCAAAGTCACCAAGGGGTTGCCCTACCTGCCACAGCACTGGG